AGTTCAAAACCAGCCTGAGCAACAGCAAGACCCCCATCTCTACTAAAAATAGAAAAATTAGCTAGGCATTTTGGCATATGCCTATAGTCCCAGCTACCCGAGAGGATGAGGCAAGAGGATCGCTTAAGCCCAGGAGTTTGAGGTTGCTATTAACTAGGCTGATAACATGGCATTCTAACCCAGGCAGCAGAATTAAACTCTGTCTTAGAAAAAGAAAAAAAAATTTATTTTTACCTGTTAATTCTAATTACTTCACCATTGTGAGGCATATATTAAATCTGAGTTCAAACATTCAGTATGCTTTTATTTTTTTAGAGATAAGATGTTCCTTTGTCACCCAGGCTGGAATGCAGTGGCCTGATCAAAGCTTACTGTAGCTTTGAACTTCCAGGCTTAAGTAACCCTTATGCCTTACCTTCCTGAGTAGCTGGGACTAGAGGCATGCACCACCATTCCTGGCTAATTTAAGATTTTTTTTATAGAGATGAGGGTCTCACTATGTTGCCCAGGCAGGTCTCAAACTCCTAGCCTCAAGTGATTCTCTTCTCTTGACCTCCCAAAGTTCTGGGATTATAGGCATAAACCACTGCACCTGGACTCAGTATCCTTTTTTTTTTCCCCAGTATACTTTTTCTTTACTTCTGTTACTGTTTTTCATATCTAAGCAGAATAATACAGTATTATGTGTTAATGTTGAATTATTTTAAAGTACAGAGTATCCCAAAAGTGTTGTAATGCATGGAAACTTGCTAATAATCTGCGTCAACTACTATCTTGACACAGGCGTAAACATTTTAGTTAGCATGAAGAGCCCCAAATTTATATTAATTCCTTACCTTTTCCTTTCTGATATTTGATTTACTGAATGTTATTTTGTTACTACTTTGATCACACTCATTTTTATTCAGTGACAGTTGAAGGTTTTAAAGAAACTTACATTGGCTGGACATGATGGCTCACACCTGTAATCCTAGCACTCTGGTAGGCCAAGGTGGGTAGATTACTTGAGCACAGGAGTTTGAGACCAGCCTGAGCAAGACTGAGACCCTGATTTTACTGAAAATAGAAAAACTAGCTGGGCATCATGGCGGGCACCTATAGTCCTAGCTACTCAGGAGTCTGAAGCAAGAGGATTGCTTAAGCCCAAGAGTTCGAAGTTACTATGGGCCTCAAACAGTAGGTGATGCCATGGCACTCTAGTACTCTACTCAGGGTGACAGAGTGAGACTTTGTCTTAAAAAAAAAAAAAAGAAGAAGAAGAAGGAACCTTATGTACATTTTTTTGCACATGTAGATATTAATATGATGGACATTCTTACAACACCATCAATGGCAAAACCTAGACAAGATTATTCAAGAACCCCAGGACAAGTATTATCTCTCATCAGCTCTTTGGGATTTGTAAGTATTATCTGTCCTTATCTCTTGGGGATTTATAAGAGGAGTTTCACATAATGGCTTAGGGTTAGGGTTTTCATTAGTGCCACATAAGATTTAAGATCCCCTTACAAAAAGATCAGAATAGATTTAAATATCAACCATGTGGAGTTACTTAACAGTTTTTCTACTTAGATGGTATTTATACTTACATGGTGTTTTTGTAAAGGTAAATCTTTTAGCATTGGGGTTTTTTTTTCTTTCCACTAGAATACATCAGTTGTAGAAAAAAATCAAGACTCTGCAGACATCCTTTCAACTCATCTGTCTGAAATATCACAGTTTTCTCAAGACACTTGTCCTATGTCTATTGATGAAAAGGACGCTACTTCTTATTCTAGCAAACTACTAAAATCATGTGAGTATTGAAAAAGTGTTATGTTCCAGTGTGTCCTTTGAGGAACAAAATATATGCAAAAAATTTATATTCTAACATTTTGATAGTTAAAAAATGCAAGTACAGGCTCAGCACCTGTGGCTCAAGCAGCTAAGGCACCAGCCACGTACACCTGAGCTGGTGGGTTCAAATCCAGCCTAGGCCTGCCAAACAACAATGATGGCTACAACCCAAAAATAGCCAAGCATTGTGGCGGGCGCCTGTGGTCCCAGCTACTTGGGAGGCGGAGGCAGGAGACTCACTTAAACCCAGGAGTTGGAGGTTGCTGTGAGCTGTGACGCCACAGCACTCTACCCAGAGTGACAGCTTGAGGCTCTGTCTCAAAAAAAAAAAAAAAATGCAAATACAGGTTGAACATCCCAAATCTGAACATTCAAAATCCAAAATGATCCAAAAGCCATTTTGAGCATCAATATGACACTCAGAGGAAACGTTCACTGGTGCATTTTGAATTGCAGGTTTGGCATGTTCAGGTTTAGAATGTAAATGTTCAAAAATATGAAATCCAGATCTGGTCCCAAGCATTTTTGATAATGAATCGTCAGCCTATATTTGAACTGTTTTTCATATTTCTATATGTCATTATGTAAATGTCATTTCTGACAAGGATTGTGGCAGATTTTTTTTTTTTTGTGGCAGAGTCTCACTATGTCACCCTGGGTAGAGTGCTGTGGCATCACAGCTCACAGCAACCTCCAACTCTTGGGCTTAAGCAATTCTTTTGCCTCAGCCTCCCCAGTAGCTGGGACTACAGGCGCCCGCCACAACACCCAGTTATTTTTTTTTGTGGTTGTTCAACTGGCCTGGGCCACATTTAAACCCACCACCCTCAGTGTATGTGGTTGGCACTGTAAACACTGTGGTATGGGCGCCGAGCCGAGATTGTGGCAGAGTTTTAAGTCAACAGAATGTAATGTCTAGTTAATGAGTTATCCTTCAATTATCTATAATATGGGATCATTTGGTAAGTTGCACTATACTGAGTCTGTAGAAATCTTATATCAGAAGTATTGTGTGTGTTTATAAACTTATTGCCAGCACATCCTGATGTGGCTAAATTTAAAAATAAAGTAAATATATTTTTGAAAACCACCAAATACAGATGCCAAATAATAATCATAACAGTGAGTGTGACAGACTTACATTTGTATTGCTATAATTGCTGTTTGTATTGATCATCTCTCTAACTTGGTGATAGCGGGCAGTTTAGTTTTCTGAACTCATGTTCTTCATCTTAGGAATGTGAATAATGCTTTGAAGGGTGATTAGCATTGTTTTCACAGTTGTTACCTCATTTTGATTTGGTTCCTCAACAAATCTATGCATATCTAGGATGTACACGTAGTACTGTCTCCTTTTTACAAATGATGAAACTAATATTTGAAAATATTTAGTTATACACTAGTAAGAGAGTAAGCCAAGTCCTGATTGCAAATATATTAATAATTCCCTGTCAACTGAGCCTATCCTCCAAATTCGGTGATTCTTATTTCTAATATCAGAATTATATGGCTGAAAAAATAAATACCTTTGATAAACAGAAGATTGCTAAAATATGAAATATGCAGGTGTTGGCTCAGCGCCTGTAGCTCAGCAGCTAGGGCACCGGCCACATACCCCAGAGCTGGTGGGTTCAAATCCAGCCAGGGCCTGCCAAACAATAATGACAACTACAACCAAAAAATAGCCAGGCATTGTGGCAGGCGCCTATAGTCCCAGCTACTTGGGAGGCTGAGGCAAGAGAATCACTTGAGCCCAGGATTTTGAGGTTGCTGTGAGCCTTGATGCCATGGAACTCTACCCAGAACAACAGCTTGAGACTCTGTCTCAAAAAGAAAGAAAAGAAATATGCAGATGTTATTTTCTTTCTTTCTTTCTTTCTTTCTTTCTTTTTTTTTTTTTTTTGAGGCAGGGTCTCACTTTGTCACCTTCTGTAGAGTACTGTGGCCTCATAGCTCACAGCAACCTCAAACTCTTAGGCTCAAGCGATCTTCTTCCCTCAGCCTCCTGAGTAGCTGAGACTATAGGCACCTGCTATAATACCCACCTATTTTTAGAGACAGGGCCTGGCTCTTACTCAGGCTGTTCTCAAACTCCAAAGCTCAAGCAGTGTACCTGCCTTATCCTTCCACAGTGCTAGGAAGACAGGCATGATGCAGGCATTATTTTCTTCAGGAAAAATAATTGCATCTTCCTTAATCATTCTTTAATCTTGTCAGACCTGGGTAGGTGTGAGGGACTGTGCTGGTCCCTTGAATGGCTATGAAAATGAGAAAGAGAACTTCTGGCCGGAGAAGAACTTATAATTTTATAGATAATTTTATAGTGAGAACAGGTGTAAAGAAATAACAATAACAACTCTGTAAAGATGCCACATAGGAGGTGAAAAAGCTAACTGGAAACAATCCACAATGGTTCTAAACAGAGATATAGTGATAGCCATTCTGAAAACAGAATTTCAGATGGAGGCACTGGAATGCAGAAAGACAAGAACATATGAAAGTCTATTCCACCTTCAGACAAGAGAGAGTAATTGTGAGGTATGGGATGGGAAGCACATGCCTAGGACAGGCAGCATGGCAGGTAAATGGCAAAGAATTAAGTGTCGTTACAGGGATACTAGGATTTAAGCTATAGAAAACAGGGAGCTATCAAAAGTTCTGAAGCAGGGAGTGGTCTGCTCATATCAGTGAGCCAGAAAAAACTCATTAGCAGAAGTAGAGCAGGCACATGGTATTAGATTAGACTAAGGTGCCCATGTTACTGGTGGGAGGCAGCTGAGTAATTTAGTCAAATATGATAGTCAGTGTCCAGTGAGTTTCAGGAATTGTGTTGAGAGAAATTGTTTCCTGAGTTTCAAGAATTGTACTAAAAGAAAAATGGTTTAGATCGACTTCTAAATTCTCCTTCCAATTTTATTGTTGTGAGACTTGATCAAAAGGTACATGGGTGCGGTGGCTCATACCTGTAATCCTAGCACTTCAGAAGGCCAATGTGGAATGATGGTTTGAGGCCAGGAGTTCAAGATTAGCCTGAGCCCATGAAGCAAGATGGTGTATCTACAAAAAAATAGAAAAATTAGCCAGGTACAATGGGCCTGTAGTCCCAGCTACTGGGGAGGCTGAGATAGGAGGATCACTTGATCCCAGGAGTTTAAGGTTATAGTGAGCTATAATGATACTACTACATTCTAGCCCAGGCAACAGAGTGAGACTCTGTCTCAAAAAATAAAAATTTGGTAAATTTAGCCACATTCTAACTTTATGTCACATCTGGGTATAGCATATCAGTAATGATCCTTCATTGAGAATAATTTCAAATTGGAACGTAAATACTCAAAATTGGGTTCCTTCTAATAATAAATTAATTCCCTTGTCCTTATTTTTATTGTATGAATGTTAAGGGGATTTTATTTTGTTCTTTCAGCAGCATTTGTATCAATTTCTGTATCTAAACCTAAGGGGAAGCCTGCTGGAGGCACCTGCAGCTGTCCTGAAGGACTAGATAGTGTTTACAAGAAATAGTTCTGTTATGTAATACTTAAAACTTTGCTTAATTATCTGTAAAGATTCAGGTTTGGTAAGGAACTAAGAAGACTGTGACATAAGCTTCAATATTTTCTCTTCTCAGCAGGTCTTGAGACGCTTACCTCCAACCCAGGAATACCTGTGAAGTGTCTAACATCTAATCTGCTCCAGTCTAGGAAAAGGCTGGCTACGTCCAGCGCCAGTAGTCAATCCCACACCTTCATATCCAGTGTGGAATCAGAATGCCACAGCAGTCCCAAGTGGGAAAAGGATTGCCAGGTTTGAGGAAAATTTATCTTAACCAAAACCAATTATGTATGTAAAGTACATGATAGAAACATTACACCTTCTCATGTAAATTCTGTAAGGAAATGAAATTGTTACATAAATAGCAGTCAAGATATTATCAAAATTTTCTCATTTTCTTTTACATTCTGTTAAATTTAAGTCCCTACCATGTTATAGATATTCACTTGTTGGTTTTGTTTTGTGTTGAACCTATATCATTTTAAAATTCATACTACCTTACTGTCTCCTATGCTGTTTTCTGCCAGTTTCTTATTTAACGGAATGATAACTCTTTTGGATCAGAAATAACTTTTAGACCACACAGGTAATATAGGTGTGCCCTTAAAAGTGTGGGTTCTGGCTCGGCGCCTATAGCTCAACCAGCTAAGGCGCCAGCCATGTACACCTAAGGTGGTGGGTTCAAATCCCCAGCCCGGACCCGCCAAACAACAATGACGGCTGCAACCAAAAAATAGCCGGGCGTTGTGGCGGGCGCCTGTGGTCCTAGCTACTTGGGAGGCTGAGGCAAGAGACTCGCTTGAGCCCAGGAGTTGGAGGTTGCTGCTGTGAGCTGTAATGCTACGGCACTCTACCCAGGGGGACAGCTTGAGGCTCTGTCTCAAAAAAAAAAAAAAAGTGTGGGTTCTGAGGGGATTGCTTAAGTAAATACACATAAATGGATATACTTAAAATGATTTCACTTAATTTACATATTCTGATTTTACTTTTCTAAAAAGTTATTAAAGGTAGTAGATATTAAAGGTTTGAAGAGTTAAAATTTTAAATTATAAAATCTTCTTCCTAGCATGCTGATAAAATAATGTAAGATTAGGATAATGTTAATACACAAAGAAAAACTTCCATTTTTGCCAGGCACAATGGTTCATGCCTGTAGTCCTAGCTACTCCTCTTAGGTAAGAGGATCATTTGAGCCCAGGAGTTCACATCTAGTCTGGACAACACAGTGAGAATACTGTCTCTTCAACAACAAAAAAAAGAAAGCCAGGTGTGTTGGCTCATGCCTATAATCCTAGCACTCTAGGAGGCTGAGGTGGGTGTATCACCTGAGCTCAAGAAGTCAACCAACCTTGACTGAGCAAGAGTGAGACCCAGTCTCTACTAAAATTAGAAAAACTAACCAGGTGTTGTGGCAAGTACCCGTAGTCCCAGCTACTTGGGAGGCTGAGGCCAGAGGATCTCTTGAGCACAAGAATTTGCGGTTGCTGTGAGCTATGATGGCAGGGCACTCTACCCAGGGCAACAGAGTGAGATTTTGCTCTCAAAAAAGAAAAATTATATCTTTCATTTTATGAAATTATTTGGATTCTGTTTGCTTCTCATCTTAGTAATACGATTTTCTTCATTGTCATTATTTGTATTTTAGAAGCAAGGTCAAGTTCACTTTAAGTTAAAGCAGGGGGTTTCTCAGTCTTTTTTCCGTCTTCCTTATAGACTGCAGTATATGTAATATATGCTGCAGAATTTTCTGTTAGTAATATCGGTATACCGCTTTCCTATTAAAGATGACTTATATGCTATTTCAATTTATATAGCTTTACCTTCTTCCTCCTACTTTTGGGTCCCTGAGGAATTCAGTGGTCACATGATGATAGTGCTTCTCAAGTTATGGTCAGATAAGGGATAATTGACCATGAGGGACCCTCTGATAAGCCTTATAGATCCCTAAATGCATCATTTTCTGTGCTTACAGATCAGTGAGTTGTTGAGTCAAGAATTTTCTTGTTGCTATGACTAAGTGCTTCTTACTATTCCTAAGTAAGTTAATGATAGTTAATAAATTTTGATATTCACACATCAAACATAGGCACTATTAGAGTCTACTGAAGACTCACTCTCATTGAGCAATCTTTTAAAAATCCTGGTCACCATGCTTCAGTTTGCCATATTATATAAAGCTTTGAGTGCACATGAGCACCCACAGATAAGTGGAATTCAGTTTTTGGAAAAAGCATTTTGTTATCAATACATCATCAGTTCACCTTGTTGACAATGGATTTTAATTCCTGCTATTCTTTCTTTATAATTATAAATTATCATTAGTTTAACTTCATCCTTATCAGCTTGGCTTTCTTATAACATGTGTGAGGTAAAACATGTTTGCATTAACATTATTTCATTTTACTACTCAAAACAATCATATAGGCTCAGCGCCTGTGGCTCAAGTGGCTAAGGCGCCAGCCCCATACACCTAAGGTGGCAGGTTTGAATCCAGCCTGGGCCCGCCAAACAACAATGATGGCTGCAACCAAAAAAAATAGCCAGGCATTGTGGTGGGCGCCTGTGGTCCCAGCTACTTGGGAGGTGGAGGCAGGAGACTCACTTGAGCCCAGGAGTTGGAGGTTGCTGTGAGCTGTGATGCCACGGCACTCTACCCAGGGGGACAGCTTGAGGCCCTGTCTAAAAAAAAAAAAAAATCATGTATACCTTTATTGCAAAGCTGAAATATACCCAAATTTGCCTACATGTTACCTTTTAATTGGTCATGTTTGAGTAAAATGTATTACACTATGAAAATAAATACTATAGAAAAATAAGGCTCGGCGCCTGTGGCTCAAGCAGCTAAGGCGCCAGCCACATACATCTAAGGTGGCGGGTTCGAATCCCCAGCCCGGGCCCGTCAAACAACAATGATGGCTGCAACCAAAAAATGGCCGGGCGTTGTGGTGGGTGCCTGTACTCCCAGCTACTTGGGAGGCTGAGGCAGGAGACTCGCTTGAGCCCAGGAGTTGGAGGTTGCTGTGAGCTGTGATGCCATGGTACTCTACCAGGGGGATAGCTTGAAGCTCCGTCTAAAAAAAAAAAAAGAAAAAGAAATTTAAATTTTAGACCACTGTTTCATTCAAAATAGTGTGTTTGAACTTACGCATAGTACTATAATTGTTTGTATTGCTTTTTAATTCTCTATAATCACTGCCACTTTGTTCCATTTGAAAGTGGGTACAGGTAGCATAGTAGTTTATGGGGTCATTCATTTTATCATAGTCAAGAGTGGTCAAAAGTTCAAAGAATCTCTGCTTTATATAACTAAAAAGGTACTTTTCTCCCCATAGGAAAATGACGAGGCATTGGGCTCTACAACAGTGAGTTTGAATACAACTGAAAAGTTATGTGCAGAATCTACAAATGCCATCGAAATCCAAAGTTTCCATAAAAAGGATCTTGAGTTAGCCCTTTCTCCCATTCATGACAGCAGTGCCGTTCCTGCCCCTGGGAGCTCTCGTGGAAACCTTGCCCCAAAATGCTTCTCTGAGGAAGTTTCTTGGGAAGCAGGAGAACTAGAAATAAACATAAAGACAGCCACTGACCCAAGACAGTCTGATTTCCATCAGGTGGATCAGTGGGCTGTGGATTCTGCTGAGATATCTGAAGAGTACCTTGGGAAAAGAAGTTTAAAAAGAAATTTTGAGTTGGTTGACTCCAGTCCTTGTCAGGAAATTATACAGAATAAAAAAAGTTGTGTGGAATATAAGCATGATAATGAAACGATAAATTGTTATACAAATCCAAGTACAGGCTTAACAGGTGATGTTCAGAACCTGAAGCTGTCGACACACAGAAGTCAACAAAATGACTATGCTAATAAGGAGAACATTGTCACTACTTTTATTGATAAACAACAAACACCAGAAAAATTATCTATACCAATGATAGCAAAAAACCTCATGTGTGAACTGGACAAAGACTGTGAAAAGAATAATAAGAAGGGACTCTTAAGTTCCAGTTTTCTATGTTCTGATGATGACAGAGCTTCTACAAGTATATACATGAACTCTGATTCATCTCTTCCTGAAATTTCTATAATGGAAAGTTCATTAGAAAGGCAATCCTTAGATCCAGATAAAAGCATCAAAGAATCTTCTTTTGAAGAATCAAATATTGAAGATCTGATTAATGTATCACCAAACTGCGAAGAAAATACCTTACCGAAAGGTGTTGAGAACTCTGCTATCCAAGACAGTGACCAAAAAATGTTAGCTCCTTCTTTGGAGGGGTTGAAAATGTTCACCTCCAAAAGAAATGCTGTTGCTTTTCGAAGTTTTAACAGTCATATTACTGCATCCAATAACTCAGAACCATCCAAAATGAACACTGCTTCTTTAGATGCAATGGAAATTTCGTGTGCTTATACTGGTTCATATCCCATGGCTATAACCCCTACCCAAAAAGGAAGAGTCTCTATGCCATATCAGGTATATTATAACTTTTTTTTTTTTTTGGAAACAGAGTCTTACTCTGTCACCCTGGGTAGAGTGCCATGGCATCACAGCTCCCAGCAGCCTCCAGTTCTTGGGCTTAAGTGATTCTCTTGCCTCATCCTCCTGAGTAGCTAGGACTATAGGTGCCCGCCGCAATGCCCAGCTATTTTTTGTTGCAGTTTGGCTGGGGCTGGGTTTGAACCCGCCACTCTCCGTATATGGGGCCAGTGCCCTACTAACTGAGCCATAGGTGCCGCTCAGTCATTATGATTTTTAAGTATGATAAAATTAACCTTCTCTTTGTGTATCTCTATGTACTTTTCTGAGAAAATACAGTCACGTATTTTCACTTGATCCCAGCAATATTATGAAATATAAAATTAAAATCCACTGTACCTTAACTGCCTTCAAAGGGCATGTTTTCTTTATAGAAAAAAGTTTAAAATTTTACATTTCAAACCTTAATTTTTTTATTTTAATCTAAACATTTAAAAACCCAAAGTTTTATGTTTTACTTTGAAGAGACATCATAACAGAAAAAGTATAACCCCTGAGTTTAGTTTATGAGACCTCAGTTTTCTATCCAGGACTTAACTACGTGACTTAGAAGTCCTTTAACCGGGTGGCGCCTGTGGCTCAAAGGAGTAGGGCACTGGCCCCATATGCTGGAAGTGGCGGGTTCAAACCCAGACCCCAGCCAAAACTGCGAAGAAAAAAAAAAAAGTCCTTTAACCTCAGATACTCTGCTTTTCCAATTGTCTGTAGAGGATAATCATACCTGTCCTATTGGTCCCACAAGAATTTTGTAAAACTCAAATTATCCTAAAAACTTTCAAATGCCATCTAGTTGAAGAGTCATTTATATTTAGTTTTATCTTGTGTACCGTTCTAATCATTTGTCAGCCACAGCCTTCCTCAGTGGCTGTTCTTAAACTTATATTAATCTATGCTGTTGCCCAGTGCGGTGCCTCTAGCCTGTAGTCCTAGCATTCTGGGAGGCCAAGGCAGGGGGAATGATTGAGCTTAGGAGTTCAACCCTAGCCTGAATAAGAGTGAGACCCCTCTCTAGTAAAAGTAGAAAAACCAGCCAGGTGTGGTGGGTGCCTGGATTCCTAGCTACTGGGAAGGCTCATGCAAGAGGAACTCTTCAGCCCAAGACTCTGAGGTTGCTGTGAGCTATGACACCATGGCACTCTACCCAAGGTGACAGAGTGAGATTCCATCTATTAAAAAAAAAAACAAAACTATGCTATCAAGACCTTTGACTTGCTAATTTGTTCATTGTTTTTTATTTTCCAGATTTTATCGAAGCAATGTTATCTGAGCTATTAAACTCCATTAGATAAAAGGAGTTTGTTTGGGGGGTTTTGGGGGGTTTTTTGTTTTGTTTTGTTTTTTGAGACAGAGCCTCAAGCTGTCGCCCTGGGTAGAGTGCTGTAGCATCACAGCTCACAGCAACCTCCAACTCCTGGGCTCAAGCGATTCTCCT